CGTACAATTGACAAACTCACATAGGTTATGTTTACTACTTAAGAACAGCTGATGAGAGGGGTGTTATGTAAACAAACATGTGTACCAACTGTTGGTGATGAAATATTTCATTTGTTGAAAACTCAATATACATATATATAATATAATGATACTATATCTTGAAAACAAGAGCTAATATATAATTTTTATGGTCACTTTCGGTTTTAACACGTGGAAATACATTAAAATCATCTAATTTCAACCCCGAAACAAAAACTTTGTTGTGTTGTTGTTCTGATTATTGTTGTTCTGATTATAATCAAAACAACCATGTTAACAGAGTGGTCTGGATAGATCCTGCAGAGTTGGAATAGAAAATCTCGATATTTTATACGTTTTTCCTTCTCTTTTTGGATGTTATTCGTCTCGCCAGAAGCTGAAAATTCCATGACAAGTGTGTTCTTGCTCTGACGGTCGAGAAGGACTACATCAGGCTTATTAGCTTGTATGAGCCTGAGGGTGGTATAAATGGTGGTATAAATTCGTTACTCCTCGTTCCACACAACAGATTCCATATCCCCCGGAACGTAGGGCAACACCGGTGTCTCGTCAATAACGCAAGAGTACCGTAGATGGTAATATAGCACTCTGAGGGGTACGTTATGTCAATGGATATAGGCCGAGACCGCATTTGCTGGACATGCTGATAGCAAGTGTATTAGGGTCTCGTGCGCCTCGCAGTAGGCCCTGCAGGAACCCTGCAGTAATCTCTATACCCATCACGCGACTGCGGTAAACTAAGATGTTGAAGATACCATCCTGGCAAGTCATGAAGAACCCCTCAGTTTCCGACTCCAGCCCACTCGACCTGAGGAAAGCAAAAGTCAGGCGCTTTTATAAGCCAAGGTCTGTAATGCATTGGCTTATCCTTGTGTTTCCGCAGAAGTGAGGTGATCTCTGCGGCTTTCATCTGAGCTTTTTGCTGAATGGGTTCCAACTCGGTGGTCACCTCGTTCAGTGTCGAAAACTAAACCCAGTTCATCAGCTGCTCTAAAGAGAAATGCTTCAATTCCTGCTCTTTCATGGCCACGGACCATGCAGAGAAGGGGATCCGAACTCCTGACGACTTTACAGGCTATATCCAGTACCATTCTGTCACGTAGACACTCCAAAGTCAAAGGTCCATCGCCTCCCTGTTGTCAGGGAAAAGTACAACTGTGAAACGGACGATTTGGGATGCAAAATCCTATAGAGATGCATCAGTTTTCGGGTCTTTACGTCGAGTTGATACAGCTCCTCCCTAGTCCACTTCACGACTCCAAACGAGTAGAGTAAGATTGGAACGGCAAGCATATTTACACACACATTTACAACAAAAATGTTATTATTAATATCATTATTATAATTGATAGGTGCTTTGAAAAATGTAAATTGGTGCTTCTTGTGTTCTGAAGTGAAGTCGAAAGTCCGTTCGACAGTGAAATTAGTGATAAAACTGCGATACATTTTTCACTATCTGAATTCAATTGGAACTAGAGCCCAGAAACCACGTGTTCTTGATCCAAAACCAGACAGCGCTGGTGAAAGGCAACGGTGGTGCTAAGTTGAACTTGAAAGATAATTCTGAGTGAATGACATACTTCCTGACGAAAACCCCATCTGGGATATGCTCAGAAGACTCAATTCTCGAATATAAAAGATGAACGAGACTTCCAAATAGTCAAGCTGCGACATCGAACGACAACTCAGAGTTGTCTTCTATCTTCCACTGCACCTTTCATTGCACGACAACTAGACAAAACAAGAGTTTGAAACAAAAACAAAACATCCGACTCCAGACAGCTCTGACATGACTCACCAAGGTCTTATTAGTGCTGAACCACGGATGCATTGCTGGACTTGGGTACCTTTGCAGAATAAACCTGACTAACCAAAGACTTGGGGAGCTGTTATATCTCAGATATCCGTGAATTGAATGGGTCGATCCTACAGATGCAATCTTCTTGAGTGGAGATGCCACCGCCTTCACTCACACGTGTTCATTCTTCGAAGTTGGCTGGGATCAGCAATCCATCCGTATCTCAGCCGAGCACCACTACTGAGACCTTGACTGGTTGAGACAGCGTATGGTCTGTAGGATCACTGATGATTCATATGTGGGATCTGGCTCTGAGTCACCTGTCGATCCTCTGAATAGCATCTTCGTTAGTTGGAAACAGAAAGAAGCAGTAGATGAAAGCACGAAAAAAATTATATTTGATATTATGATATCTGTCAGAGTTCAATGAACGAACACATTGAGAAAAACCTTCATTCATCATTTTCATTCTGTTGTTTGATGGAGGTTATAATCAAAAACCATGTGTCCTGCTCCGTTTTCATTGAACTGATACGTATTTAAGAGTAGTGAAATTGACTTTTCCAAAGCATTGTACCAAAGACTATAGAGAAAACTGATTCCCTCATGCTGACTACCAGGCTATTTGTCTATTAGGTCTTTCCAACAGCTATCTTGGTTTAATCAGGTTGTAGCCTGGCTCCCTTACCCTTTCGACTGGTGTTTGTCAGAACAAACGGGTCAAGACTGATCATGGAATGGCGGCATGAATGTCCTCAGACACCAGTACCGCCCTTCACGGTGGACCCCTGCCTGGCTGGGTTGTTTCGATGGAGATATTGTTAATTTTTCCGGGGGACATGAGGACCTTATTCGAAAGAGTCCCTGGGCCTTCTATATCGGGAAGAGTCCACAGCATAATCTATAGCTTCCCTAACTAACTCGATTAGATCTTTGGGTGTGATAGTTGAAGGACATCCTATGAACATGTGCCTGTTCGAGTATTAAATCCATAGACAAATCTGCTTTTTATCAAATGAACGTTTTGATACAGACATTTTCAAATATTACATTGACCAAATCTGTTGGAATAAGAAGCTTCAACACAACTACTCCAGAACGTTGTTTTTCCACAAAATACAAATGAAGAAACATGGGTCTACTGCGAAAATGTCTATCATTAGCATCCCACCATGCTCTAGGTTGCTTTCCTGTTGGGATGGATCCTAACAGCCCCTTACTTCAATGATTCATAGTGTTCCAATAGTACGTCTGGCAGTAGAAAATATCCTGTAAGGCCTCACAATATATCAGGATCAGAATCGAAACAATGTCTTCTGATTACCTTCACTTTGAGCTATTTTTTAAATACTCACAATATATTATAGAGCCCTCCACGAGAGTCATAATAAATGCAATTTTGCAATTCCACCTTATTATTTCCTCAAGCTTCTTTCCATGTGGAGAAATTTGCTTAACGAGAGTGGTAATAAAAGCAATTATCCAATTCCACCTGATTATTTCCTTAAGCTTTTTCCACGTGAAGAAATTGAGAAATTTGCTGGAGAAACTAAGATATTTTAATATGTATTTCAGAATTTGTTTGTCTATCAATCAAACAACCAGATCAAAGCATGTAAATAATAAAAGAACTATGTAGTTCACGCATAAACGAAACAAAATATAGAATAAGGAATTCAGATAAACGACAATTAAGACAAAGACAACCAAGAAAGTATATAAGGAATCAAGAACAGGAAATTGGAAAGGAAATTGACGTAAACTCAGTAACAGAAAAAATATCTAGCTCGAGCCGAAAAAACTTTTATGCATAATAAAAAAACCGGATAATTGAAACTTTTTTTGCCAAACTTGTCAGTAATCGAACTAATTGAATGTATCTCCAAATAGCAAATAAAAAACTGACACAATCATTTATTACTCTTTAGTACCAACTTACCAGTTATAGCGTGGTCACTTTTAAAATGTTGATTTTTTACATCAATTTTGAGACCAATCCCAACACTCAAAGAAATTGTACTGACAGCTAGTAGTATTCCATGGATATAGTACTTCTTTTTTCTCTCAAGCCTCTGAGACCAGACGTTCTGCTCAGAAAATAGAATGAAACCTTCTGCCATGAGAGGTATATACTAAAACAATAAAAAACTGTTTGCTAGTTTGTTAGTGAACAAAGCGATCTGTGAATTGTTACATCGTCAATACAATTCGAAATGCTTGATTTCTCAATCAAGTCGATACCAATTTTTATTCTTCAATTTTGGCAAACTGTAAGAAGTAGGACAAGAGAGTTTTATAAATCAATTGACATTATAAGTAGTGACTCCACATAGAGAAAGTCAATAGTTTTCAATGAAGAACAAAATGTGGGTGTATGTCATATACCCGCATTATAAAAACCAAAATTGAGAGTTACTTTCGAAACACTGAGATGAAGTTTCAATAATATATTTCAGGGAATCAGAATTGACATGACAAAAATTGGAGAATTAACGTAAATTATTCCAAACATTCGAAATAGGTGATTTGAGGTATACATTGGTTCTGGCCAGTAGGAAATAAGGAGTTTTTGTGCTTTTACTTCTAAAATGTACACACACATTCATGGAAATAGAGCATCAACATATAGCTTATTGACTTCACTCCACGTCTAAATATTTTCTAACTATCGTTGCAAATAATTCAATCTTCGATAGTTTCGACTGATTGATATATTTTCGAATTATATGCAGAAAAATAACTCATTCCAATCGATATAATTACTGAGGTCATTGATGAATGAAAATATCAGAAGTGGCCTGGGATTCGATTCCTGAGGTTCTCCAGATGGTGGATTGTTATAAAAAGAAACATAGCCATTATATGATACAAATCGTTGAGATAAATGGCATTTAATGAGTTGAACTGCAGAATTATGAAAACCAAAGAATGAAGAATGTGATCATGTCGATCAAATTCTTCAGTTTCAAAAATACATAAAAATTTCTACGTAAGTAATCCAATTCTGGCGGGTGGTACCAAAAGTACCAAATTTCACGTTTCATTCCACAAATGAAAATTCAATTTCTGGTTCAGAAAAATTGTTGAAATCATTTTGAAAAATATAGGTATTTCGTAATAAATTTATATATTCCTTTTATATCACCTTATATAGAGAATAGCCGGCTCGTTCTCGTAATCTAACACTACTTGATTCTGTTGGATACATGTGTGTTTCGAACTGATCGTTGGAAAAAAAACGAAACGTATCGATGATGCACTTAGTGATGCTTGATGAAAATAGATAATTGAATGTAATGTACTTACTGCAGTTGTGCACAAGAAGTTATGCCACAAGCTCCTATTATCAATATTGATGTATTTGAAAAAAATGTAGGAGACGTAAACTGCAACTATCGCAACCAGTTGATGATAAATTGTATTGCAAATCCAGTGAACTCGTTGAAGCAGAGAAACTGACTTTTCGGTAGACATTTTTCATTGATGAGAAGTAGCGGTTGTATTTTCCTTTATATAGATATTTTATCTGTTGGTATCTTGATACTGAAGGGGATCTCCATCAGTGATGAGGCTCAGATAAAACTTTGAAGTGTAATAGTTTTCTATCACAGTTTTCCCATTCTCTTCAAAATAATTTGTGATACGAATTTGAGGATATGTGAGGAAATGTGAAAATGAATATTTCACATTTTATATCATCGTGTGATTCGTTGAAAACCTTGAATACTGATGGAAACATGCGATAGATCAAAAAGCATTGTACATAGTCGACGTACATATTTTATTTGTAGAGTGATTTACTACAGAACTTCTATCAAAAATCAAACAGAAATAATTGAATGAAACTACACAAACAGGGTAGACAGGTTGTATTGCAAACCGTTTTATCTGCCTCATGAAGACAGTTCATTATGAAATTTTGGACACATTGGTAGAGGTATTTATGTTTGTATCTGTCTATGTATCTATGTATGATTGGTAGAGGTATTTATATTCGACAATTTCATTCTGTTTCGTGAACTTTTTTATTAATTTCTGATTTTTATTCCAATTTTTTTCAGACTTTGAGAGATAAAATTCTCCAGAAAGATTAATAAAAAATATTTCTAGCCTATTGCTGAGGCATCAATCAATTCATTATCCAACAAAGTGAACAAAAATTATATTGTTACTCTTATTATTACATTTCCTGAAGTAACGAGGAGAGTGTTATTGGAATTTCACAACAGAGCAAACACCTGCAGAGATCGTAAGTTGGAAAAACGAATTATCCATATCACGTCCGGGTCCCCGGAGAATAGACAACTTATTGAGAATGGTTTTCCAGGTGGTCACGATATTGACTGTACGAACGGTTCGATACCAATGTCGCAAGATTTACAGGATGTCTGACTGAGATCTTCCCATGAAAATATCTTGAAAACCATCTGATTCTGCCTAGTTTGGGGAGTGATTCATGATATTTTCCGATAAATATTTTTCGCAAAAATCAATATATACAGGTTTATATTCTATAAATATACAGGGATAGGTTTATATTCTATTGTATTTTCTCTGTTTATGATTTTCCTTGTCAATAAAATATATTTTTAATATTACTAACGTTGCGCTGCTTGGGCTCTATCCTTCCAAACCCTCATATATTCGGAAGGGGGCGCCAGCTCCATCAATCGATGACCACTCCCCACACTGTGGGGTAGGTGATCATTCGGTGTGAGGATAATGTGCCCTGACTAGGCGCAGTGAACCAAGAATGACAGCCTTTTGCATTTGTCTGACTAAGATTTCTGCCTCACTGCGGATTAATATTACTAACGTTGCGCTGCTCGGGCTCTATCCTCCCAAACCCTCATATATTCGGAAGGGGGCGCCAGCTCCATCAATCGATGACCACTCCTACACTGTGGGGTAGGTGATCATTCGGTATGAGGATAATGAGCCCTGACTAGGCGCAGTGAACCAAGAATGACAGCCTTTTGCATTTGTCTGACTAAGATTTCCACCTTGGCGCGTTATTATTGTTATTAATATTATCATCATAACCATCAATATAAAAATCACATGTGAAATGATCCAATGAACATGTTAGTCACAAAAGTGCAGTAGTACAGTATAGTTCAAACATGAAAGAGTTGGTGGTTTCATGAACTCAAAATATATGAGTGGAAGGACAATGCTAATACTGAGATAAGTAGCATTAGTATTAACAGTATAACAGTGAACATTTCTGTCGAAATTCTACTATTATATATAATAGTATTCTGAAATTTATGACCATCTATTTGTACATTATGTAGGAGTACAGCAAAGTGTATAAAATCGTAGAAAAACTCCTAAAATAGTTTTGGAGTTATATAAGATTCCACAAAATATAAAAAATTATTACAGTGAAGTTGTATTGTGATGCTTTGAAATCATAAAATCCTAACTGGGAGGTATTTCATTTGTTATAAATTTTTTTATGTTGATTCATTGTTTTCAATATCACCAGTAATCTATATGTGGGTGTTGAGCAATCAATGTTCCATTTTGAGTGTGAGAGTATTATATTTCATTATTTTTTTCAGATTTTCTGGTAGGTTATGTTAGGTTAGGAGCAGATACAAAGCAGATACAAAGTATGTGCTCTGCTGATTCATCATTTTCCAAACGAAGGCGAAACACACTGTCTTTCGACAGTTCGAGTCGATATCGTAGTTCATCCCTACTATAGTTCAACAACTGTTTGGTATCAAGCTTCGAAAGGTCAATAAACGCCTTGGTTTGAGCCAATTCTGAAACATTTTTCCAGTAGTCCATACATCTTTTTGCCACCAGATGTTCAATCTTTGTTTGGCAAAGCCTAAGGCAATGCCAATGACAGGTTCTAGTACGATGGAGCTGCTTACAGCACCCTCTTTTGCAAGGGAGTCAGCAGTTTCATTACCTTCCAGACCAGTATGGCCAGGAATCTAGACCAAAGACAACCTGTTGAGTCTTTCTATAGAGGAGAGTCATTTTTGGCAATATGCAACCAATTTAGACATTGCTCGGTAGGAGCCAAGAGCTTTCAACGCCGCTTGACTGCTCGAGAATATTTTTATTGACTTGTGTATGAGGTTGATTTCATCCAATCTCACCACACACAATAACGTAAATTTCCGCTTGAAATACAGTCGCATCGATTCCTAGGCAGGTTGATATCTCTGTTCTGCGTCTGCAACTAGAAATACCTACACCAGAATCTGAAAGTGTTTTTGATCCATCTGTGAACCAACAACTATCTGCTCTCGAAATTTTCTTCTCCCGGAGGATCCAATCCTCTCTACTTTATGTTATTCAAATCTAGCCGAATTTTTGTACAAAACAATTTCGAACAAGCATTGCTCCAGAACATTAGAACTGCGCGTTTCACCAACAAGTTGTGTCCTCAAGAGACAAAGTAGGCTTATTCGTAATTCTGATAAATTTATATATAAGAAGACACCACTGAATACAAATATGATAAAATTTTCTTGTGGAAGTTTCATCTGGTATTCGAAATCGAATAAGTCCTCTGTGTTCTTTGAGACTAGTTTCAATATCAGTATATTGGTCAAATTCAACAAGTTAATGAAATTCGCAGCAATACATTTATAGGTTATAGAATAAATCAACAGTTTCTAAAATTTTTGAAATCGTAACATGACACATGCCATTTTAAAGTTCCGAAAGTCTGGAAATCGCTAAGCGTGGCAAAAGAATTATGACAGTGACGAAGGTCCTATTTAAACAGCCTATTGTTTTTCTTTTATATAAATTATTCTGTTGAAAATTAGCTGTACCTTTCACGGAAAAATTCACCACTAATTTATACTTGGCAATAAATTCAAGGAACAAGCAACTTGATCCCACTTTTCACGGGCTCATTGGTGGGTTTGAAATTCGTTTGTGGTGTTTCGCTAAGAAATGAAATGTTATGTTTTATTGCTATGTAGCAATATGGCTTTTAAATTATCCAGTTTATCTTTCCGAAGCGCGCTGAGTGAAAAAACAACTAGTGAAGAATATCTCTCCTGGACAAAAAAATATTATCTATTCAAAAAACACTTCATCTGGAGTATATGAGTTGACTTGTAGCTCTTGCTCGAAACTTTATATTGGTCAAACAGAGAGAATATTTTTCCAAAGCATTAAAGTGCATACAAGTAGTTTTGTGAATAGAAAAACTCATCTCACATTTGTAAACTATTTTTTAGCAGAAGGACATGACTTCAATCGTGAATACGACGTATTACATTTAGATTACAAAAGTCTGAAACTTATTCACTGGTATCTCTTTTCCGCATTGTTCACCATCGCTATTGGAATCACTACACTGGAAAAAGTCTGCGTTGTTATTAACATTGAATTACACGAAAGAAAAATACTACCGAAACAAATACTTTTATAAAAACGCCGAATTACACGAAAAACACTTTTCTCTATTCCGTTTGTATTCCAAACATTCGTATGGAATCGAATCAGATGTTATTGACAGGGTTTCTATACAATTTAATTAACGAAAGGGAAAAATTTCACTTACATTCAACGCTGTCATCCTCACTGGTAGACATGCGATGTTTTGCTGAAAGACCCTTGCCTTATCGATTCTTCAGTAGCAAATACAGATAACATTATAAGAGGAAACACTCAATCCGTATGACGTGTCAGTTGATACGTCAAGAAGAGTAATTTGACCATGCCACTGAAGATGACTGCCGCAGTTACAGTTGAAACGTTTGGATGCTGTTATCAGAGAAGACCACGGCAAACTCCGGATACCAACCAAATCATTGACGCCAGCCGTAAAACCTACATTCCTATATACAGCGTGTTGAAGCCTAATGGAGTAAATTCCCGTCGAATGACAGATACAATCCCCAATTTTTTGAATGGAAAGTATAGGCTTGTGATATATTGATTGAAAGGTCTCTTCATTCTCTATTCAAAAATGTTATCGCTTTCAAGTTTATCGCAACAATTAAGATAAAATAAATTGAAATCATGTGGTAACCGAAATTCGATAAAAAAAACTGAAAACTTATTGCAATATACTCAAAACTCATTTCATGTTGAGGTAATGATGATATGAAAATGAGCAAAAACCATAGCAATGTTCTTTTTAGACGGTATCCTTTAAAAAACTGTAAATAATTTTCGTGGCAACGTTAATTTAAAATGCCTTTTCAACTTGTTGTTTATGTTACAACATTAGTTGTCACTATTTCAATTTGAGTTCAAAGTTCGTTTACTTCAAGTCTGACCAATGGACAGATTAACGGAAATGCATAAAATAATAGTTTTACAAACGATTGGTTACGGAGATAAAACCCGAACACAACAGGAAGTAGCTCGCGTATTCCATGAGAAATTTCCTGATTTACCGCCCATATCTCAAAGAACAATAAGCAAAATAGAGAAGCAGTTCCGTGAGCTTGGTTTGATGGGGCAGATAAAGAAAGCAGCTGCCAATGCAATGAGTGATGAACTCAAATTAG